AAAAAAAAAAAAAAAAAAAAAAAAATAAGAAAAACTTAGCCTTTATCCCAACTTCATAATAAAAAACACTTAAATTTAGTTTTTTTCTTTGCCTTATTATTTAAAAAATAATGTAGTTCATTGATTAATATATTAAGTATGTAATTATTAAAAATATAAATATTATCCCTAATATAAAATTTGATTAAGGTTTCAGAGTATTTTATGAAAATGAATATCAATAGCTTATAATTCAAATAATAATAATTTAGCCCTCATATCAAATTATTAAAAAAAAACCTTGTAGGAGTTTCTATCTTAGTTTTTTTGACTTTATTCTTTCATGGAATGATATGGTGATGGTCGCAACTACTAAATTGAAGGCCTGTGTATAATTAATAGCCTCACCACATTCCATCATTATAATTTTAAAATTGTAGGCCATTTCCCAATGTATGCAGGCTTAAAATTGATGTTAAAATGATCTATATCATAATTTTTATGAAAATGAGATAATATCACATTTTTTATCAGTAAATCTTCTAACACTACATTATTTTATACTAAAATTTCTATGGTCAGTTTATTAGAAATTACTAAAAATTAACTCAAAATAATTAGAATGGACATTTTTTTTTTCGTTTTATGTAAATTGCATTTAATCAAATTCAATGTTTGAAATCCTTTCAAAAATGTAGATTTAATTTATTTTGCTTTTTGATATTTATTTTAAAAATACAAAAGCAAGAGTAAATTTTTTGTACTTAGTAAAATTAATTATATTTAAAATTTAAGTACACCAAGATAAAGCAAAATTAAGGGACTTAGTCTCTCAACTTCTTGGAAATATTTTAAGTTTAATATTTAATATTTTTAAGACTAGATAAATTAATCAACTTACCATTAAGCTCTTCGATCTGTCTGTTTTTATTTCCTTCTAAAACAAAATAAATAATGCTTAAATTGATTCAAGTTTTGAAGATTAATAAAACATTGTTTTGTTCAATTAGAAGTTATGGGTTAATTAAATAATAATATTTTCAAAGTAAATAAATTTATTATTAGTCCATAATAGAACTCTTTCTACTTGAAATAATATACCACAACAAACATTTATATTGACATATTTATATTAAAAACAACAAAACAAAGAAAAAAAGATTTTATTTTATTTTTACATTCATTCATTTATGAATTATGCATCTAGCAAAACTTTCATTAGCATTAATAATAAATTACTTTTTTTTGAACAGTATTTGAACCATTTGTATTAGATGCACATGATATCACCATCAGGCTTAAAACTGTTTATTCTTTGGCAAATTGATACATATAACAGGAATCTATTAAACATACCTTTATTAGTATTATTATATAAAATTTTAATACTAGTTACCAACTAAATTGACTAAGTTTTAAAAATATAATAAAAAATAGTTAAGTAATGGATTTAAGATTTTTAAAACCTTGGTACTCAGTGAGAGAGTTCAAATTTTGATAACTTATCATCATTAAATAAATTCTCATCATTGTACTGAGGAATTTTAAGATAATTTATTATAATATACTCATTAATAAGCAACAAATAGGTTTAGGTCTAAAATTGTTTAAATTATATCAATTATTATTTCAATTATCCTCTAAATATATATATTCCATAAAATAATAAAAAAGAATGAGAAGCCTACAATAAACATGGAAATATTAGTCAGATAGCTAAGTGTAATATTAACATATTCACATTTTCAAAAGAGACAAAAATATCTGAAATTATTATACTTTTGACACGTTTTTTTTTTTTAAATTTCAGCATTGGAATGAGAAATGATGCAATAAATCCAACATTTATAAAAAAAATTAGACTTCACATTGTTCCAATTCAAGCTGTCACGTGGTCAAAACTGTACATATGAAGTTTTATGCACAGCTAAAAGTTTACAACTTGAAAATTATATTTTTCAAATTGAACAATTAAGAAAAATAAAAAACTTCATATTAATGATAGCATCTCAATATTTTACCAATAAAGTTTTTAAAAAATTGAGGAATGGTTTATAAACTTTACTTCTACATAAGAAAATATTAATATGTTAAGATGGAAGGGATTTATAACTGTAATTAAATTACAATTAATACTTTTTTAATCAAATGTTTAGTTATAGCATTCAGTGAGAGAGTTCAAAATAACAATCAATGGTCTTCATTTAAATATATTCACATCATTATGCATATATAGAATAAAACATTTAATTACTACAATTTTTTTTTTTTTGGTTTCATATATTTCTTGATTTTAAGTTTATATAATATGTTTCCATTATATAGTATGTGGACTTATTTTTTTTATTATTACACATCATTTTGTCACAAACTCTACCTCTGCTGTATATATATGAAAATGTATTTAATAACTTCTGAAGTACTAGTTTAAAAACTGCTATTTACCAATTTTATTCTTAAGATTATTATTATTTTTAAACTAGTTTAACATGTATGTTGCCATTTTAAAAAATTAAGTCGAATTAAAAAAATATTTTATAATTTGTAAATCAAGAATTATATGCATTTTCTTAACACAATTATTATTTTAAGAGCAACAGAGTTGGAAATTAAAAAAAAACAATAATTTTATATAAACTTTCATTGAAATTATGATGATTATCTTAAAATAAAATAAAGTACACAAAACATCACCTAAATCTGAACTATCAATATTAGAATATATATATTTTTTAGCTGTATGTTAACAATATTTGTAGGTTTTGATTCATAATATTAAAATTCAACCCTATGAATTTTTAGGGAGGCTATTACCCCTCCTAGACATCTTCTGACTACAGTTCTGATAAAGGTTTACAATTACAAATTATACATATAATTATATTCCACGAGAAAAAAAATCGTTCAAATTTTATAGGATTAAGAATAACAAGTATCATAATAATACATTTTGTAAAAAATTTAAGTGTACCTTCATCATATGTCTAAATAAAATTAAAAAATCTAAGAAATAACGCAACATTCAAAACACGAAGGCACAGACTGACACGCCGAGTACAAAAAAACACAATATCAAAATCTACCACTGATATTTCAAAATACTATTTAGTGATTAAGTTGATGATGATACATCAACGATTGTGGTATTATTAATGTTAACCATCACCACTGTTACTTATTAAATCAAAGCTTTGCTGGCGTCGACGCTATCAGTAACTATACTAGCAGTAATACCAACTAAACACACATGGAATATTTGCAAAATTAAGCAACGTCATCACTGTTAATAGTGTATTAACAAAAATCAATTCACTACTTAATGTTTTAGGTGTAATAAAAAGTGCAGAAATAATGATACAAAAAAATCTTATTTCTAAATCTACACTAAACCTAAATACGGAAACTTGAAAATTTTCTAAATATTGAGTGGCAAGATTTGCTAGTCACTATAAAATTACAATTTCATAAAAAACGATAAAAGGCATTTGGAAAAAATGCATACTAAGATAACATAGAGCTCTTTAAAGTCGATAGATTTCCACTTCATTAGGATGTATATATTTACTAAAACAAAATGGAATGTTTACCTTGAGACGACATAAGATCGTAAGTAGAAAATCCAGAAATCGTAATATATCACTATGCAAATATATTAACTTAACATTGGTTTTAAAAACTAATATTACACTAGTAACACAGATTCGTTAAAGATTTAGTCATAGGATTAATAATTATCTTAAAATTTCTTATCAGTAATATTTATGCGATTAAAAAATAAATCATTATTAAAAAAAAAAGAATGAAATGAGTTCAATATAGAAATTTACTATTGAAGCACACACCGACAATTTTTCGTTCATCTTATGCATAATCAAAACAAATTAGAATTATAGATTGTTATTAACGTTTTTAACGGGATGAGAGGAAAACAACGACAGACGAAGTAGTACACGAGCGACGCTGTAGAAATTAGACACACGACCGAACGGTGCTCGAGAGGGCATCGTTCTAATGTAGTCGTGTCGGCCAATCGCCGACGATCCGGTTCACCTATTCCGTTCAGTCAAACTTCACTCCCTCCGTTTAGCACAGCGGCGCAACAATAAAAATTGATCCAGTACAACGCGGACATACGGCAAAACACCGATGGCTACAACAGACGTTTCATTTTGTCTTTCTTTTCATTCCAAACACTACCGTTCACATCAACTAAACGTCCCGGTGCGTTCTTACGACACATTTAAATTTATAATAATAGTTGAACTTACAATAGTAGATAAAACCTAAATGAAAATGAATTACATAAATAAATAACTCATGCTAAATTATGAATCGGAAGAAATTATACATATCTTCTAATGACTAACATCACTAAAAATAGTTTTGCATCAGAATACCATTAGTACACAAACAACAATGATATGAATAAATAAAATAATTTTAAAAATAATATATATATATATAAAATTATTGTTAAACCATACCACAGAATTAGAAAGTAAAATTAACTGTAAAGGTAAATATAGTAGAAGTGGCTTCTGAACGACCTACACAATTTTACTGCAGCCACAAAAATAAATGAATGAAAATAAAGAACTAATTTTATTCAATATTATAGAAGAGTATTTATTCAACAATACTAGTTGGTTCTCTATCATACAGAACTAACCCTACTAAAAACGAAAACTTTTTATTACATAAATTATTTGTTAAATTGTATTGACGAACCCCCTTAAATTAACACAAATAACAAAAAAAAATTATTATTCCAAAAGTAAAATCAATTTTTATTTCCCTATTTATACCCTGATTACAAGTTTAAGGATATATAAGAATAATACATGAATAAATATAAATTTGTTTATTAAATATTTAATAAATTGTTTAATGGCAAACGGCCATTTGCACATATGAAAATTGATATAAAACATGACACATTTTTTTTCTTTTAATTTATAGTACGTAACATAAGCTTTAATTTAACATATGTTAATGGAAGCAGTATTTCCGGGACATTTTCAAAAGTTAAGTTAAAAAAATTAACTTTTGTGAATATTTTGCTATTTTTAAATTCGTCCCTGTAGGCAAGTAAAGGGCCAGTTTTCAAAAAAATTATATCAAGTGAAATATAAATATCTAAGGTGTCTATATAACAAAAAATTATTTTGATTTGTTCATTTTTGAAAAAGTTATGGTAGTTTTAAGAAAAAAATATCAAAATTTACCGATTATAAACATTGTAATTTTTTGGGGGATTTCCTCCATTTACAGGGAATTTTTTTTAACTTTAAATGTCTTCAACTAGATACAATTTGTGATTTTTTGACATATCGTTGAAAGAAATCGGCCCGGTGAGAGTTGAGAAGACAAACTTAAAAAAAAAAAAAAACAATAAAATTAACATCTTTTCGGGTTCGCATCGAAGATAAAAATAGCAAACTATATAAAATCTGTTTTTGTGTCCTATTAAAAATTTGACGAAAAATAGATAAAAAAAAAAAACAAAATAATACAAACATTTTTCTATTAAAACTTAATAAAGAGGTCGTTGACTTATGGCTGCCGTGATAAACAACGAGTAAGTGAAAGTCGTCTAACGCTAGTTCACGTAAAACATTTTAATAACTATTTATCAACCCTTATACAAAATTAAAAATCCGACACTAGATTGCCTGTAAACTACATTTTTAATATCATGCATTATACAAAACGTTAATACCGATGGTCGATCATAACTGCTAACGGTTCAACCCTAATTGTTTTTTTAACGGTATTGTAGAGATATATAAAAATAAACATACTCGAAGACTTCAATATGTTATAGCATAGCTATAGGTTAAAATGTCGCTTGGTCCCCTGAGGGCCACGGGGAGGTATAATTTATATTGTATACTAAAAATTAGTAATGTAAAAAAAAAACCAGTGTGTAAACTATTGGTCACACTGCTTGCTAAACCGTACCTCGCGCGCATGTGTAAAACGACCATCCACCGCATTGGATGCTGTACACTAAACAAAATCGCTAAGAGCTCGCGATCAAGGTTATATTTCACTGTACAATAATACCGTAATGTAACTGCGTAATTTATCCTGAAATGCTATCACTAGGTTTTTCTCTCAATTACATGCTCATAATCACAACAGCCAATTTTTATCAAACGGAATTAATACCTACCAAACATTAATTTTGTTAATACAAAAATTTAGTGATACTCGATTGTCTGGTCGTTACTAATACAATATAATAAAAGCCGTATAGTAATGGCACACCCGTCGTAATAAGCCTCACTTCATATTACTACAATAAAATTTAAAAATGGCCGCCAACGTTCAATTTAAGTAAATAACACAACATTTCACAAACAAGAGCATTTTTTAGGTTATCAATAATGTTATTATTACGTTTTCATTATCAATCGGTACTAATGGCAATTAATGAAAGTATACCATAAATTTAAAAACTTTGTACTTCAATGATATAAACTTTAATTAAAATTCTTAATGACAAAATTATATTTTATTTAATTAAAAGAAAAAATATACTCGCACTGGAACTCATGACTAAAATAGATAATGTAATTAAGTAATTTGTATATAGATTACGTTTCAAACACACCAGAAATTTACAAAAAAAAATAAAAATCGTTAATTAATTTGGTTATAACTTGAATGTTTTAATCAATATTTGAGTAGTTTTAAATGAAACGACTTAATCCCTTGTCTTAAGAATATACAATAACCTAATTCAAAGTACCAGATTTAAAGATTTTGGGTTCGTCCTAGGCCCATTCCATAATTTAACAAATAAAACTGTATTTCTCTGTTTAGATTTTTCTTATCAACCAGGTTTGTTTGATACCAGTCAATTTAAGTTAAATTGGTGTATACAACGGATAGTGTTGAATGCAGTAGTTTTCCCTTGCCTTCTGCATTGAGGATATTGTGATTTTTGTCGCTGTAAAACTCCAGTTTGATCAACCATCCACGAGCCTATAGCTTTTAATTATTAATGACTATTATAATTATGAATGATGAACAAAACAATTTTAATCAAGGGTATTGAAGAAATTACTTTCCAAAACACTTATTTAATTTCTTCAAAAACGTAGAAAATAAAGCTTATTGCTACTTAAAACTACATCTTAGAATAGTACAAAATTAGGCCCTAAAAAATATTACAAAGGATAAGTATTTTCCTCAGATTTCTAAATATGAACACATTGTATTATGTAATAAAATCAAAAACAAAATATTTACTGAAAGATAAATAACAATAATAAAAAAATTCAAAACTAATAAATTACATGAAAAATAATAACCAAAGACTTGTATTCATAGCCCGGATTGTATTTCAAAAAGGAAGCTAAACAAAATTTTTTTCTCTTGCATATAATACTAACTAGTTAACAATATATGTATAGTAATATTATGTCTATGGGGTCTATATATATATAATAATGATAATAATAATAATATAATTTGAAAATAATTGGAGGAAAGGCATGAGTAGACCTCCACAAATATCTGTTTTTAGTATTTATACAACTGGATATAGCACTATAAAATTTACATTTAATGTAATTTTCATAGGAAATACATATTTTATTTCACTATAATTTAAATTTAAAGACATATTTACTACAATGTAATAACATTTAGTGTTTTTAGTTTAATGAAAAATTATTATTTTGATTAGATTACAAAAATCTCATAAAATCTATCAATTTAGATCGATCTTGAATAAAATTAAAAATTAAGAAGAATTATAATAAATACATTGGCAGAGTTTTTTTCTTATAGTTTGCCCTAAACTCCTTTTTGTTTAATATACCATGGGTTAGATTTTTTAATATTATTATGAAAAATATAATAAAAAAAAATATAATATTTTATCACACAGAGACACAAAATTAGTATTATATAACGGGAATTTTAAACTTGGAAACTGCTTCTTTATAATTTTTGATATCAATTTATTATTAATACAAATAACTAAATTTTGATGACAAAAAAAGCCTTTGATGGTCATTATAAATTTCTAATTATCAACTTTTCCAAAAATTGCACAAGTGATAGAAGTCAAATATTCAAATTTAATTATCGTAGTTCATCATCTTTTTTTGTAAATGATTAAAAATATAATTTTTTATATAAAATGTTTTTTTATAAAAATTAATTTTACACACTGTCTATAAACACTGGTAATATTACAATATGCAGATAGCATAAGCTTAATAAAAAAAAAAGGTAATAAATAAATAATTAAACTTTCAAACATTCATAAATTTTAAAAATTGCAATAAAATGAATAACTGCAATAAATGGAGCATTAATAATAAATAAAAATCAATAAATATTAAATTTAACCTAAATAATAAAGTATTAATACATATTTTTTTATAATATATCATTTATAAATTGTTTAACGGCAATTCGAAGAACTACAAGAATTACAAAATAACTTATTAGTTTCTGTAGTATAATTAAAAAATAAAATAACTTTAAAATATGGAAATATTAATAATTATGAACTTAACCATAAAAAACTTGAAGCAATTTATAAAATACCCTAGTCTAAAATACATTAAAAATGAAATAAAAGGATTAAAAATAATAACTTTGAATAGTTTATAATACAACATTACTAAAAATAATAATATATATTTTAAGTAACACATACATATATATATATTTTTTGTGTTTATGATACTTGAAAAATAAAACAATTTATTGGTCCTGAAGTATAGTAGATTATGATTAATTTTCAATAGTAAAACTTAAATAAACTGATACTATTAAGGACCAAAAACAGCTGCTTC